TTTTAAAACAAAATCACATTAAATTCATTTACTTTACTTTCACATTACTTTACTTTCTCACTACTGTTCTATTTTATAACCTTTCTTCTTGTCAAGCTTCTTCACTATTTTACCACCTATTGTTTCCTCATTCCTTTATACATTTGCCTTCATTTGAATCATCTTACTTGCACTTTATCCTTAAAACCCATCAATAATCTCCCACGGAACAAATCTAAGGGCAATTTTCAGTCTTTATTTCAATTAAACAGTATGAATCTTTAGAAATCAGTAACAACCTCATTTTGAGACTCTTTCTGCTCTTGGGTTCCATGCTACAGCTACTCTCTACTATTGGTGCCTCTCTTGCCACTTGGACTGTGTGAGTGTGTGTGTGTGTGTGTGTATAGCAATATATATATTTATATAGTTTATCATATATATGATATATATATGATATACCATATATACCATGGTGTATATGGTACTACACACACACACACACACACACACACACACACACTGTTCACAAGGCTCAGCCTAGAACTTCAGCCATACTCTTCCTAAATGACCCACCTCTCCTTCAATCACCTCCTCTCTGTGGAAGATTCCTAAACCACTTGGATTTTAGTCTGATAGCAAGTGACAGAGACTCAAAAATAAAAATAGCACAAAGATAAAAGAAGTTTATTTCACATTCATGTTTTTAAAAATCCAGATTTGGCAGTTCCATTGGTAGAAGAATACACAAATTCATGAGGAATCCATATATTTTTAATCTTCCTGCTCCACCATTCTCTGTACTTGCCTTCCTCTTCTTGATCCAAAATGTCTAAGAACCACTTGCCCTGGCATTCAGCCTACAGGAAGCAAGAGAGAGATAAAGAAAGCAAAGTTCCCCTTCTTCAGAACAACACCACTACTTTCATTGTATTGATCTGAACTTAGTCATATAACCAAACTTAGCTAGCAGAAAGCTGGGCAATATAGTCACTGAGTGACTCTATGCTATGCTACAAATTAGGAATTCTGTTACTACAAAAGAAGCTCTAAAAGAAAAAATATTAGAAAAACAACTAGAAGAGGCTACCACAGCCACCTCCCAAACAATACTTTAAGATAATTCTCTCTCCTTATTTTTCATTCTTCCAACTTCTACTTAGATGGTCCACCTCAAATTCAATATTTCTAACAACAAACTTGTCTTCTACTTTTGACTTTCTTCCAATTGGTTTTCTACCAACATAAAGTAGACACTCAAAATATATTGTTGGACAATTTAATGCTATTAGATGTCATTATTACTTGCCTTTCTTTGTGCTATCTTGCAAATGTAGTCCTTCCTTTCCATTTCCATTATCATCCCCTGGTTAATGCTCAGATGGTTACAATAGTCTCTGAAATGGTCACTCAAGCCCACTTCTCTTTCTTCTTATTCTTTTTCTATACAACATTACTATATTACTATGATCCTAAAACATCATTTTTATCTTCATTCTCAAAAACTTTGATAGCTGGCCTATGTTTGTGGTATAGACAGCAAACTCAAAGCTCTCCCTAATCTAAACTATATCTCTTTATATCTACAGTTTTATTTCTCTCTACTGTTACTACAATCTATATTCATTTAAACTACAGTACACATTCTCCTGCTTTTAAACTTTTGTTCAGAATCCAAGGACATGAAACACCCAGTTTTTCCCCTTTCTATACAGTAAAATTGTACTTGTTCTTCAAGGTCCCCCTTAAGTTCTATTTTCTTCAATAAGTTTTTTCTAACTTCTATAGTTTGAAGTCATCTTTTTCTTCCTTGAGTTCCTACTGAAATTACCATCTCAAAAATAACTAACATGTATTTTGCCTTGATGGTTAATGAAGCATTTCCACTCATATTGTATGATTTGCTGACCACTAATTATGCAGGGCAAATTTTATAGCTACTATTTTCACTCTATAAATGAAGTAAATGAGACTCAGAAAGGTTTTGAGATTTTATTAAGGTTGCTCAGCTCATAAGTAGAAGTACCAGCACCCATGCCTTTAGCCTCCCTATCTTTCCACTACATGCTATAGTATTATAGCTACCTCTCTCACATCACAGGTGGAATACCTGCAGGTGGCAAAATCTTTATCTTATGTCTGTACAAACCCTGTACCATTTCTCAGCAAGCCCAGAATTCCCAACAACACCAGCAGCACAAATAGCATTAGGCTTCCCCAAGCTTCTTCTGCCTGCCACCTACTCTGCCTCATTATTCTTTGACACCCAGCATCACTTCCTGAATGACTTGCTGTGGAAGATAAGACATAATTTTAAAAACAACACCACACATCTTCAACTATTTTGTGGCTGCACAACTGCACTAATAGTAAGAAGGTTTCCGTCTTAGCAGGCTGCCTACACACTTCCTGGGGTTTGATGAGAGACAACTCACTAAAATTATGAGTGTGCCATGCATTGCATGCATCTTCTCACACCTGACACTAATATAAAGAGCAGAAGGGCAATCAGGTACTAGGGGCCTAACTTCTAAAATAAAATCCTTAAACACACATGGAAGATCTGGCACCAGGACCAGCTGTATAATTTGCAGAACCCAGTACCACATGAAAATGTGGGGCTCCTTGCTCAAATATTATGAAAAATTTCAAGGTGGCACAGCATCATCAGGTCAAGTTTGGGGTTTTCCAAAGCTCAAGGCTCTGTGGGACTACACAAGTCACATACCCATACCTGGGACATTCAGGGATTCAGGCTGGGACACTTCACATTCCCCTCAACCAGACCTCATCAGCCCAGTGGAACAATGTACCTGGAGAGAATTAATGTTCAAAAAAACAGATTTTGGTAAACTATGACTCCTGCCACTGAAGAAAACCTTAGTTTCTCCTCTGTCTCCCAATGGTGGGTTCCTTGTGCTCTTACCACACATCATATTGCATTATTTTTCACTTTTGCACACATCTGTCTTCCAGGACTGCAGCCATGTCCTATTCAACCTTGAGTCCCTAATACAGATCTAGCAAATAGTTAGCACTTAATAAATGTTTGTAGATGAGGGTCCTTAGTCTCTTCCTCCCCTCAGGACCTTGTTACATATCTGACCCCCAACTAAGTCATCAGACCTTACCTGGGATAGTCCTCCTCAGGGAAAATCTTGGTTGATCTGAAAAGAAAGAGGTTTATATTTACAGCCCCCGGGCTCATTCAAGAACTGATGGGCGGGAGGCCAAAGTAGCCTTAGTTAGCACCATCAGGTTAGAAATATCCCTTTGCTTTTCTGACACTTCAAAATGATGTGTATTTTCAATGACTTATCCTATTCTTGTTCTCTTTATGCCAAGCCTGGATAAATGTTAGGGTCAGCCTGAATCCACTTTCATGAAAAACTTATGTCCTACGCTTTAGGGCTTACATGCAGCCAGTACTCATCAGAATAACCCTGTTATTGTTTATGTACAATACATTTACTGATGGGTCAGTACCTGTATCTATTGTTTATTAAATATTTTTAATATTGCCTGGTGGCTAAAAACACTATTTCTCACTAAATAGGGCTCAATGGGAATAACAAAGTAATGATAGAAGATTAGAAGATAACATCTTATATTGCCTTTCATTTTACAAATTTTGTATTATATCAATGTATCTTCATTAGATGATGAAAGGAAAGAAAATAAAAATTTCATTTCTTTTTCTCATTTTAGATTTTTAAATACATTATTTTTCCAGCTTTTAGTATAAAGTGTTCCTGGATTCCCAGAATACATCAAGTCCCCCTCACTATTCTCTCTCAATCACCATAACACTAACATATTTTGTATCTAATCTTTATGATATCTGATCCACATTGATCTCTTTATTATGTTCTGTAGAGAAGAAACTGTGTTTGTTTTTATTTACCATTGTATCCCCAATCTCTTCCATAATGCTTAAAAGATTACATTAGCTATGTAATCTTCCATTAGTTTATCTCTTGGCCTTGTTTTTCTTTTCTAATGCTTAAAATGGTAGTCTGCTCAACAAACATTTGTATTATAGATTATGTTCATTAATACCTGTCATAATATCTGGAACAAATCTGACCTTGAATAAATATATGCATTCATTCATAAATGTATGAATGAATAAATGAACTTTACTTCAGAAGTCGTTCCAAGAGATTCTAGGCAAAGCATAAATGAAATCCATTTATTAATTTATCCCAGAAATATTTACTAACCACTCACTATGTGTCAGTCTCTTCCAGAGACTGAAGATATAGTAGTGAATAAAAAAGAATATATATACATATGCCCTGGCCGGTGTGGCTCAGTGGTTGAGTGCCAGACTGCAAATTAAAGGGTCACCAGTTCAATTCCCAGGGTAAGGCACATACCTGGGTTGTGAGCCAGGTCTCCAGTAGGGGGCATGCAAGAGGCAACCACACATTAATGTTTCTCTTCCTCTCTTTCTTCCTCCCTTCCTCTCTCTAAAAACTAAATAAATAAAACCTTTTTTTAAAAAAAAGAACCCCAAAAATTATCAACTTGGGAGTATTGAGTCCAGAGTTTCTAAAACACTGTATCTTCCAGAAATAGAGGTATAAATGTAACTTACTGTGTGCAAAGACCACAGTAGCCAACCTAGTTTTTTGCCCTAGCTATTTCACCACTTGGCAATGTGATTTTGGGAAAGAAAGGCATTTAATATCTGAGAACTTGTGGAGGCTTACGGTCCTCATCTCTCAGATTCCTACTAGATCTCAGATTTTGTAAGTCTAGATTAAATGTGTTTTAAATGAAATGGGTCCATGGAAATTCACTAGAAAATTTACTTTTGAATGAGAATCCTTTAGAAAATCTAGCCATCATAACATATTAAGTATATCTAGAGTAGATTGCCAAAAAAAAAGACATCCTCAAGAAAGTGAATGATCTGCATTCATGAGAGCTCCTAAAGTAGACTCAAGCCTAGGGAGATGGGGAACTCTAAAAGATGCAACAGCTAAATGGCCACAATTTTCTATTTATGTCCTCAGGTCTGGAAGCAGTTGAAAGCAACACAGATATCGTCACAGTGAATGGAACTCTGGGGGAACCAGTTACTTTCCCTTTATGTATCCAAGAATTACAGCAAGTCACTAGCATTGCTTGGATGAATTCCAAAACTTCTGTTGCTCTTGTAGTAGTACCAGGCTCAGGAGCAGCACCCCAAGTTACCGTGACCCATGAAAATTACTATGAAAGAATAAATGTTTCCCATCAGAACTACAACCTGGAGATCAGCAATCTGAGGATGGAAGATGCAGGGATCTACAAGGCTGACATTAATGTAAAGACCTCTAAAATGAAAAGCACCATCACTAGGAGCTACAGCCTTCAAGTCTATCGTAAGTTGTGGGAAGACAGAGAGCTTACTTTTTATTTTTACTTTGCAAACTTGCTATTAAAGAATAGCTGTATTTCTGACTATTGGGTTCACTAAATTACTTGTACTTATAAATACTTATATAACTATACTAATATTTTTCAAAAGGGTGTGGCTTTGCTTGCTTTTAGCAGTAATTTTCCATTAGCTGTTTATCCCATGGCCTTTTTTTTTCTATAAAATGTCAATTATCATACTACTCACTTCCTGTAGTTATTGTAAAGATCAAATAAGATAGAGTATGTGAGGTATTTTTTCAAAAAAAAACTTTTTATTTTGAAATAATTACATGTGCATGAAAAGGTATAAAGACATGTACAGGGAGTTTCTGCGCCCACTGCTCTCAGTCTCTCCCAACAATAACATCTTACACAACTATAATACAATTTCAAAACCAGGAAATTGACATCAATAAAACAAATAGAGCTTACTTATATTTCACCAGTTTCACAGGCACTCATTTATTTGTGAGTATATGTGGCTGTCATTCTGTGCAATTTATTCACGTATGTTGCTTCATTTAACTACTACCACCATCAAGATACTTAACTGTACCATGGCCAGGAGTTCCTCATCCCTTTATAGTTCTCCATTACTGCCTCCTTCCCCCTCCAAAACTCCTTAATCCATTGTACAAGTCTGTAATTATGTTATTCCCCAAGTGTTTACATAGATGGAATCACACGGTTTGCATGCTTTTAACAACAGCTTCTCTCATTCAGTGAAATTTCTGTAAGAGTCCTAATTATTTCAAGTATCAATAGTTTATATCTTTTATTGCAGGGTACCATTTCATGGCATAGACATCCTAGTTTCTTTAACCATTCACCTATTGAGAAATATTTCAGTTGTTTCCAGTTTGGGGTTCTTGAAAATAAGCTGCCATGAATATTTGGAGTTTTTTTATTGTTGTTCAAGTACAATTGTCTCCATTTTCCCCCACCACTTCCCCCCACCCCACCCATCCCCACCTCCCACCCTCCATCTTACCCCCCCTTTGGCTTTGTCCATGTGTCCTTTATACATGATGCTCCTTGACAACACTTCCCTTTTTCCCTCCCCTGTTATCGCCTCCCTACCCCCCTCTGGTTAATGTCAGCTTGTTCTTTATTTCAATGTCTCTGGTTATATTTTGCTCACTTGTTTGTTTTGTTGATTAGATTCCACCTATAGGTGAGATGATATGGTATTTGTCTTTCAGTGCTTGGCTTATTTCACTTAGCATAATGTTCTCCAGATCCATCCATGCTGTCAGGAAGGGTAGGAGCTCCTTCTTTCTTTTTGCTGTGTAGTATTCCATTGTGTAAATGTAGCAGTTTTTTTGATCCACTCATTTGCTGTGCACTTAAATTGCTGCTAGCATTTGGTTATTGTTAATTGTGCTGCTCTGAACATTGGGGTGCATAAGTTCTTTTGAATAGGTGTTTCAGGATTCTTAGGGCATAATCCCAGCAGTGAAATAGCTGGGTCAAAAGCTGCCATGAATATTTGTACACAAGTTTCTGCCTGAAATAAATTTTTGTTTCTCTAAGATAAATATCCAAGAATGAAAACATGTGGTAAAACCATTTTTCTTTTTTCTTTTGAACATTTATTATGATAAAATATACATGGCATAACATTTAATATTTTAACCATTTTTAAGTTTACAGTTTAGTGGTATTAAGTACATTCACTTGGTTGAATAATGATCACTGCTATTCATCTTAGAACTTTTCCTCCTTTTAAGTAGATTCTATCTTACAGAGAAGTTTAAGGTTCTTAGAAAAATTGAGAGTAGAAAATACAAGGAGTTCCCATATGTACCCTGCCTCCATTCACTCACAGTCTCCTTCATTATCAACATCCCCACCAGAGTCATACATATGTTACAATGGATAATGTACATTGATGCATCATTATCATCCAGAGTTCATAATTTACATTAGGTTCACTCTTGATGTTGTTGTGTGTTCTATCAGTTTTGGAAAATATATAATGACATGTATTCAGCATTATAGTATCATACAGTAGAGTCTCACTGCCCTAAAAATCCTCTGCACTCTGATTATGTATCCCTCCTTCCCCCTAGCCCCTGGCAACCACTGATCTTTCACTGTCTCCACTGTTTTTGTCTTTTCTAGAATGTCATGTAGTTGGAATGATACAGGGTATAGCCCTTTCAAGTTGGCTTCTTCCACTTAGTAATATGCATTTAAGTTACCTCCATGCCTTTTCATGGCTTTATAGCTCTCTCCAGGTCTCAGAACTTACAAGAATCATTTTTTGTTTTTAAAGAAATGCCAAATTATTTTACATTCCCACCAGCAATGTATGAGTAATCCAGTTTCTTCACATCCTCAGCATCATTCAATAATATCACTATTTTTCATATTACTATTTCATTATCACTATTTTTGGTTACTCTGATGGGAGTATGACAATACCTCATTTTGGTTTTAATTTGAATTTCACTAATGACTATGACAAAGTGCTTGTAAAAGGTAAAATAGTGAACCCATCATCCTCATTAAAACTTCTATACTTCCTTGGGAGATGTGCATGGTGTGCTATGCAATGCTATTCAAAGTGCGGTCTGTGCACTGGCTGCATCAGCATCACCTGGGAACTTGTTGGAAATGCAAATTCTCAGGCATCACCACTTACTTTTGATGGTGAAGCCCAGAAATATGTGTGTTAACACTTTCTGAACTATTCCTATGTGTGCTAAAGTTTGAGAAGCAGTAATCTAAAACTTCATAATCTAATATGGTAGGCACTAATCACATATGGCTCTTGAGTATTTGAAATGTGGTGTGTTTAAATTGAGATGTACTTTAAGTGTAAAATACACACCAGATTTTAAAGTTTTGGCACCAAAAAAATTCCATAAAATACCTCATTAATAATTTTGTATTGGCTACAGGTTAAAGTAATAACATTTTGGATACATTCAGCTAAATAAAATACATTATTAAAATTAATATCACCTCTACTTTTGCTATTTTAATGTGGCTCTAAGAAAAAAACTTAAATGATGAAAAGAGAAAAAATTTAAATTATATAAGTGACTCACATTTTATTTCTATTGGGCAGCTCCAATTTTTAGCATAGAGATATATCTGAGCCATGTCTCAAGGATTTTACCATTCATCTGCCTCAGCGGAAGAACTTCAGAAAACCATATGGCAATAGATACAATTCAGGTACATAGTTAATCCACTAAAATTCAAGTTCCATAAAGGCAGGGGCCTTAATGTGAAGTTCATCACTATATTCACAACACAAACACTATCAAGCACATAGTAGGTATTCCAGGAGTATTTGTTGAATAAAAGAATGAATGAATCATAATAGTCCCAAGTCCTAAACAGTACCTGACAATTGTTTAAGTGCTTTATTAATATAGCAGGTTGTACCTGAATGGAAGGTCTATAGTAGAAAGAACATTAATGTTGAAATTAGACCTCTTGCCAGCTGTGTGACCTTGAGCAAATTGTTTACCCTCTGTGGGCCTAAATTTCTGCATCTATTTAATGTAGACTATAATAGGTAGGGTTAAAGGAGATAGTGTTAGTTAAGCTCCCAGTATAGTGCATGCTCTTAAAGTAGATGCTCAATAACTAGTAGTCACTATTAATTTTTTAATCCTTAGCTCCCTCTCAAATTGTATTTATAAAGGACTTCCTAGATGAAGAAGGCTCTGAATTGGGCATGAGTGACATAGTCAAAGAACCATACCCAAATGTGTACACCTTAGAAAATATTTGACTCATTCAAGAACATTTGTGGAGAAATAAAGAGGGCATTCAATTTTAAGATGTTTGTTTTCATGACTTTATACATTTAGTTTTACCCACTAAATCTTCAGGAGGTGTTGTCATGATTTGTAATTAGGGAAGACCACTATAAAGTCTTAGAAAAAGCTGTATTGTCCATACAACAAAATGTGTACCTTGTGGTTAGTTAGCTGAGAGGATAAAGAGAAGAAAACTGACATTTATTGAACACTATGTGTCTGGCATTCTACCACCTAACTTTTTAAAATATATAAATATTATACATATTTAGGCAATATGTGCACAAACAGAGCAAAAGATGTTACAGTGAAATGCAACTCTCCCTTCTCAGAGGTAGTCACTTTTGCCAGTTGATTTTGTCTCTTCCATGGACAATAGATGATAGATGATGACAGATGATAGATGATAGATAGATAGATGATAGATAGATAGATATAGATATTTAGATGATAGATAGATAGATATTAGAGTGGTCTTTATATATAATAGCTCATTTAATCTTCACAAGCCTAGCAGGAGAACTTTGTTATCCTTATGTTATAATTGAGGAAACTAAATCTCAGTGAAACTGCATACCTTCTCCACCATTCTACAATTACAGTGTAGTGGAACCTGGATTCTGAACCAGGTCTCCATTGACTTTGATACTCTTTGGCTTCAGAGAATGAAGGTATACCTGCCACAGCTCGGACCTTTTCTGCCCAACACCTCTGTGCATGTAAGATCTCTATTGCCGCTAAGAAAAAAATGAGGTGGGATCCCATTCTTTACTTCTATTCCTCACTTTGACACCCACAAAAAAAAGTAAAAATAACCAGAGACATTGAAATTAAGACCAAACTGACAATAACCAGATGGGAGGTGGGAGGGGATAAGGATGGGAAAAGGGGGAAGGATTTTCAGGAACATCGATAAAGGACTCATGGGCAAAACCAAGGGTGGTGGGTAGGATCAGGAGTGGGAGGTGGGAATGGCTGGGGTGGAGGGGAGTGGTGGGGAGAAAATGGAGGCAACTGTACTTGAACAACAATAAAATAAATTAAAATAAAATAAAATAAATAAGCAAATACCAAACAGAGACTTAAACATTTTTGTAAATCAAGTTTCTAAAGAAACACACAGACACACACACACACAATTTGGTTTATTTTGAACTATACATATCTATATCTATAGTCAGTAT